CTAATAGCGATGGCCTCCAACCTAATAGCGATGGCCTCCAACCTAATGGCGATGGCCTCCAACCTAATAGCGATGGCCTCCAACCAACGTGCGATGGCCTCCAACCTTATGGCGATGGCCTCCAACCAAATAGCGATGGCCTCCAACCTTATGGCGATGGCCTCCAACCTAATAGCGATGGCCTCCAACCTAATAGCGATGGCCTCCAACCTAATAGCGATGGCCTCCACCTAATAGCCATGGGCTCCAACCTGCTAGCGATGGCCTCCTAATAGCGATGGTTTGCAACCTAATAGCGATGGCCTCCAACCTAATAGTGATGGCCTCCAACCTATAGCGTTGGCCTCCAACCTAATAGCGATGGCCTCCAACCTAATAGCGGTGGCCTCCAGCCTAATAGTGATGGCCTCCAACCTAATAGCGATGGCCTCCAACCTGATAGCGATGGCCTCCAAACTAATAGCGATGGCCTCCAACCTAATAGCAGTGGGGCCTCCAACCTAATAGCGATGGCCTCCAACCTAATAGCGATGGCCTCCACACTTATAGCGATGGCCTCCAACCTAATAGCAGTGGGGCCTCCAACCAAATAGCGATGGCCTCCAACCTAACAGCGATGGCCTCCAACCTAACACAAATGAATTTTTTTTGTTTCCGGCTAGCCGGCCACGGCCAGCCGGCCACGGCCAGACGGCCATCCAGGAACGAATATCGAATCGAAGGAGGAGGATGAAGTGAAGAAAGGGTGGAGAAGAAGAAGAAAAAGAAAAAGCAGAAGAAAAATATGAAGAAGACAAATAAGAAGAAAAAGACAAAGAAGAAGACAACGAAGAAGAATAAGAAGAAGAAGCAGAAGAATAAGAAGAAGAAGAATAAAAACACATAATAATAATAAGAAGAAGACCAAGCAGGAGGAGAAGGAACAAGAATCTCCTGTGGCCTGTACAATCAAAAATGTTGAAGTCGTGGCGGTTTTCCAATATTTCTATTGTTGAAGCCTTTCGATTGGGATTTGTATGTATGGAAGTCGTGGCGATTGCTGGCATGAGTTCTAACCTCGTTCACCCTCTCAGTCACACTCGCTCCGATACCTCCGTGCAAACTGTGTGATTTAAGTTACAATTGTGCTACGAAAGGAATTTCAGAACACATCAAGAATATTGCCGAATCAGTGCGTTTGCATGCAGGAATCGGGTAGCTCGTCGCGTTTCCGTTAGGGAACACAAGTCTTTTTCCTGCTAGTGTAGGGGAAACAGCATTCAAGTAAGGGTCATGGCCATGGGCGGAAGTTTTTTTGTGTCAGAGTTTTCAAACATCAAACAGCTTGCGCGTGGCAAAGTAACCACCTGTCACTGTGTTAACCATTCTAGGCCCAAACTTGAAGCCATTCCTCATATCGGACCAGTGTCCCATTGGGCATTGAATTGGCTGCATGGGGTTGATGCATATCATTTTCAGTGACCTTTGAAGCACAAAGCTGATACACCAAGTCGAGGTTCCTCTGTTCATTCATTTTAGATGATATATTTAAAGAGCTGGCGGACTACACACACACACACATATATATATATATTATGGATTCCTGTGATTTTTGAGTCTTGGGAGAGATTTCCATCGGCAACAAGGTTGCTGTGCCGGAGTGGAGTGCATGGCCATAACTTTGGCAATTGGTTTTAGGTCCAATGATTGCATTTCCTGAGGGACCCCTGCAACCGCAGCAAAGCTTCCTTCAGTTTGGAGCTGTTTGTGCACTTGAGGTCGTTCATGTAGCCACGTGCCTGGACACCGTTCACACCTATGTTATCAAACGTGCGTCGATAAATCACGAGGAAGTACCAACAACCAACTTTTTTTGAGTCACCTGCGCTGGCGATGTCCCTGCTTCATCCTTGCAGCCACTAGGCTTGCCCAGGGTCCTGTGTCGTACGTCAGTTCTTTTTACACGCGGACAGGAGGCTCATAACATGTGTGCGCATTGTCTTCTTGTTTTCATATACCTACCACGCACGCAGTCACACCAGGCGCGGCTGTTCTTGGCTATAGCCTCGGGCGGGCTTGGCGCTGTGACTTCTCGCGCCGTTGCCGCCGCTGACCGGGATCACGCCAGTCGATCTCATCTCTCCTTGTTGCGCTTTTGATCGCAAAAGCCTGGGAGGCAGCACTTTTCTCTCATAGCTCAGTGAGACTCCAACACTTAGCCATACGAAAGCCTGTTCATGTATAGGATTGTTTTGGTCGGTCACGGTGACATGTTGTTTGGGAAGGCAGGGAGTGCTGTGTGCAGGCCCGAGGCCAAGATTCAGCTACATTGCTCCGCGCCCAGGTATCCCCAATGGCGAAGCAGCACACGGACGAGATTCCAGCGGCAGAACTTGAGACTTTGATGAGAAATGCGGTGCAGGTGGTGCAAGATAATTTCGGCCCAAGCCACTTGCCGGACAACATTCGCTCGTTCCTAGAACCAATCAGCGCAGCCACCTTTCAAGGCATGTATGTTACGTGCATGCTGTTTGCGTGCGCCATGTGTGCGCTCACGAACGGGGCAGCGATTCCCTTGTGGTCTCAAAGGCCAAGTCCCTTAGTTCTCTTGGTCTTTCACGTCGCGCCAGCGCAGCGTGGAAAATCACGGCTCCATCAAGCCACTGGGCTTCTTTTTGAAGTGGCCGACGACGTGCTGGAACAGCTGGCCAGAGAGCACGCGCGGACTTTGCAGACCGCTGAAGCAGACGCTGAGCAGTTGAACCAAGTGCCTGTGCAGGTCAAATCTATATCGATCCAATCATGTACGGCCACAGAACTCTTCTACCGTTGCTCTTGCGACTTCGCGCAGGTCCAGGTGTGCGTTGGACTGACGCGCTGCGTTCCACTAAAATAAAGTTTCGCCGTGGCCTCTGCCAGGATACACACCGACATACAACTATTTGCCAGAAAAAACTTAGCAATGAAAGTTTGCAGACTTAAACAACCTGTCAGATATCAACTGCCTAGGTCACAATGCTAGGCATTTTTATCTAGGGGTTGGTAAGTGGAGATACCAAGCTTAGATGTAGATGTCCTATTGGCCTTTGGTGCAGGTGGGTGCTGCCAAGCAGAAGATATCCACGCGGCTGTGGTGGGGCCAGGCGACCAACGCAGACGAAGCGCACGAATTCTACGAATTGTTGGGGCTCACCGGAGACCAGACAGCTGGCGTCAACCCTCATGCCAGCACTCTAAACACGCTCATAGCTCAGGGACGAACAAAGCGCACCGCGCGCACCTCCACTAGCTACGGTGACTCTGTCGGAGCTCGGACAATTTCCCTTTCTGTGCTAGGAAACGCACATCCAAGCCGAATTGTGAGCATGGATCGGCGCCTGATCGGGAATCATACGGTGGCGTCAAAAGAGCGCTTCATCTTTGTCACAGATTACGCTGTCGCCCGCCATGACAGATTGCCACCTGGCTCTGCTCCACCCACGGGCCGGTGGACTTGGTTGCCTCTCACAGACCTCCAAGCAACTGTTTTTTGGGTGGGAAGCCTTGCTGAACCGCCCAGAGTACTTCAAGACTGCGAGTGGGTGCCAGAGTGAGTTCAATTTGGAGGATGGTGATTTAGATGATGAAGCAGAGGAGCCGGGCATTGAGACCGAAGGCCTTGCTCATGGCTACCGAGTCACACTGCCAGATGGGGTGCCTTCGCGTGTGCGATGTGCATCGCCCCCAAGAAGGCCAGGGTGCGAACCCACCTCCCCTGGCGGAAACACCGAATGTAGGCAGTGGTTCGATTCATCTCCACCAAACTGCTTTCCATGTTGACCTCTTTCTCTGCGCAATCCATGGCCAAGGGAGAAAGAAACAAACAAAGAAAGAACGAAAGGGCGAAAGGGAGAGAGAGAGGGAGAGAGACTGAGACTGAGAATGAGAGACGCATCATGCACGCTGTTTTGGCTAGGGGTCTCTCCAAAAAGAATGCTTGCCACATGGACTTTCGAAGCTGGTGACGGAGTTTCGCATTTCCAGCCGATGGAACCTTCCAGATCCAACAGAGCACATACGCGGAGGAGCCCGTCGTGTATGCGAATATTTTAGGAGCCGCCCACACACTATTTTGGAGATGGAGCACGAGGGCAGGAGGCTTCTGCTTGGTGCCTTGGCGACCAAAGCGCTTGTGCGAAGTCGACGTTCTTTTAAAAAGAGCCCTTTCTTCTTCAATTGCTTTCAGCGGATCCATGTGGCTTGCGCAACCGATCAAAACCCACCATCCAGGTAATCAAGTTGCGCAATCGGTGCGGGCCCAGCAAGCTCATAAAGGAGATGATGAGGCCATGCATGCCAATGCAGCCGGGCTGCAGGGCCAGGTTGCAGCAGCTATTGCAGATTAAACGAGCGCGGATTAAACGAGCGCGGGGAACTTGTGGTTACGGCTACGCATGTGCAGGCCAGCAGTGGCCAGCGTCAGATGTCCAGCGCACCGTTTTCAGACCAGCGCTTGTCTCTACGTATGTCTCTATGTGATGTCAGAATACACGACCTCAAAGCTACCTGATTGGACGACCTGAGGGACAAAACCTTTTACAAACACAGGCTCCTTGCTACCAACGTAACGCGTAATTGCTTGATTTCCACGCTTTGGGTTTTTTTAGCATGGACACTGCGCAGGTGGCAAGCCGCCTGGTGGAGATTGGACTGCAGATCCGCGCAATTTTTCGTGCGCCCGTTGATGGTGACCTCTCAGACCCCGAGCCCGAGGATGCACTGGGCATTGTGCAACCTGTGTGCGGGACCTATGCTCCACAGACGTTCGCTGAACCAGCAGCCACACAGCTACGGCCATCGGTTGGCCATGTGGATGATCAGGAAACTTCGAAGGACAATTCTGTG